CGCTTGTTAATGAAGTAAGTGTACTGTCATTCCTCTGAACTCATCCAGACTGGCCTGACTGATGGTCCACGTAAGAATTGATACAGAGCTTATCATTCCATTTTTTCCTTATGTAATATTGTACCAAGAAGAGGCAGAACTTCACATGTCTGAGCATTGTTCCCCTCAATGGAACAGTTGGAGAACGGTGGAAGTAGCCCAGAGGGTAGAGTGCCTACCTAACATGTGCACCCTAACACCATGATAAATAGTGTTCAGTCAAATTGTCCCAGAGATTTGATACAGTGTAGCAATTAGGACAGACACCAGAATCAGAGTATAGTATTAGTCAACAGAAACAGACATTCTAGATTGGAGGCCTAACTCTGTTATCAGCTGTGTGACGTTAGGTAAGATGTTTAACTTTCTACGATTTGTTTCTTCATCTGTATGAGTGAATTATATTTGTATCTCTATAAATGAGTTAACATTGTTAGTTTTTAGAACACAGCCTGGCACAGTGAATGCTCCATAAATGTTAGCTCTGACTGTTATCTCAGCTCTGGCTCTCATTGTTTTTATGATCTTGAACAACATCTCCATGATTCAGAGATTTAAGGCATCAAGTATGGGTAGGGAAAATGTCACTAGAAGGAATACAGGTTGTGAGACAGCGAGACACACCTCAACTATTAGGTTATGTGTCTGTTTGGAGATGAATTCAGTTGGAGGTACCTGAGACATCAGATTGAAGATATTTTGAAACTGCAGAATCTAAAGAATTGCTGCTAAAACTGGACTTGCCGTATGTTATCGGCAGGCAGTCTCACAACTGATCTCATCTTGGGAGTTTTCACTGGAATCTGTTTTTCCACCCAGAAAATGGGCACGTTTGTGATCCAAGTTATTACACAGATGGAAGATTAACCTTAGCGATTGAAGGAGTTGTGCAAATAAATGTATTTAAAGAATGATGTTTATATGGTTTATTTTTACTGCTAGCAGAACAGAGCTACAAGTCATTAACCTTGGGAAAAAAATCAGATGTCAGGATTCAGAGATGATTGTGTAATCAGTAATTTGGAGAGCATGTGGGCTTTTGTTTGGTTTTTCAGAAGCTCAGATTTAAAGGCTAGAAATTTTGCTTCTATTTGCTTTTCATGGCACTTGGTTCATTTTCTGCAGAGGTTCAATTTGTTGCTAAAGAGACTCATCACTAATTTGAATAATTATACACTGAACTGTAGGGTAGGACTGAAATTGGGGTTGATTGAGAGGGCTGAAAACAGACCAAACTCAAACTCCTTCCTGCCATAAGAATTACAGATTCTTATGCAACACACATGGCAGCACAAAAGAACATTTCCAATGGATTAAATTTGTTTTGAAAGAAATAGGCAAAAAAAAAAAAAAACCAAAAAACCCACACTTTCACTTAAGAGAGAGAACTAATTAAAACCATACCGAGACACCACTTGGTTTTCTATCAGTTTTTGTACTCTGAAAATTCAAAAATACATTATATTGGCAAGACAATGGGAAACAAGCCCTTTCATACATATTGATGAGAGTATAATTTGGCACAAAATCTGGAGAAAAATTCACCAAAATCTATCAAAATTGCATTAAAAGAGCATATGACTTTTGACCCAGTAATCCTACTTAATGGGGTTTTATCCTATAAAAATGTTTGTAGTCACATGAAATGATATGTATAAAGATTTTTTTAAAAGACTGAAATATACTTCACATACCATATTCATTTTTAAAGTGCACAGTTCAGTGATTTTTAGCATATTCACAAGACTATGCGATCATCACAACTAATTCCAGAACATTTTCATCATTCCTTCCATTCCCGATACCTTGCAACCACTAATCCACTTTGTATTTCTGTGGATTGGCCTATTCTGGACATTTCATACAAATAGAATTATATAATATATGGCCTTTTTGGCTAACTTTTTTTTGGTTTTTTGAGACAGGGTCTCACTATGTAGTTGAGATTGACCTAGAACTCACTATGTAGCCCAGGCTGGTCTCAAACTCAGCACGATCCTCCTGCCTCAGCCTCCTGAGTGCTGAGATTACAGGCATGTGCCACCATGCCCAGTTTTGGCTGGCTTATTTCACTCAGTACAATGATTTCAAGGTTCGCTCATGTTATAGATTGTGTAAATACTCTAATCTTTGGGGTTGAATAATATTCCATAGTATGGATGCATCATATTTTGTTTATCCATTCACCAGCTGATGGATAATTGGGTTGCTTCCAATTCTGAACTATTGTGAACAAGGTTACTGTGAACATTTGTGTACAACTTTCTGCAGGAACATGTTTTCTATTCTCTAGAGGAGTAGAATTGTTGGATCATATGGTAACTCTCCATTTAAGCATAAGGGTATCTTTTGCAGCATTGTTTGTAAGAGCAAAATGTGTGGGAGCAACAAATCTGTTCATTGATAAAGGACTTGTTAAACCATGTCACATTCTAACAACAGGATAGAGTGCACTCTGAAAAACAAGAGAACAAACTCCATTGCACTAAGGAAAGAGTTTCAAGATGTCTCTTAAAGAAAAGAAAGTGCAGCAGAGTTCGTATACTGTTTTAGCTTTTATATAAGACAAGTATAAAGGAATATTAAAAGTATTCCTAAAAATCTAAGAAAATTACAGGGCAAAGGGCAAGGAGCAAGTGTATTACTTCGATTATATACACTTTACATGTACCAAAACCAGAACAATGTGTTAAAATTCAAAGTAAAATGTTATAAATCTTTGTAAAATGTATAGTGATGAGTTACCATATGTTTGGGGTAGCTCTAAACCATGGTTGACCTGGGAGTACTACCGTACCATACTTCATGTTAAGAGTATTTAAGGGCACAATTGAATGATAGTTTGTAATTATAGAATTTTTTTATAATAAAATTCAAAGTTATTTAGTCAAAAACTAAGTCTATATGAAAAATGACACAAAAAATGCACAAAAAGTGGTACAAAAGAGTAGCAGTCTCTAATAAAGTTTTGGATATGTAGCACCAATGTTAGAATGCTGAGGAATGCTTTCAGCAGACCAACTGAGTCAGACTCTAGATCTTGGGCCCAGAATTCTACATTAAAGAATTCCCTAAGAATTCTTCTGCACACAAAAGTTTGAGCCTAATAAGATCTGAATAATTTGGCCTAATAGATTAAACAGATTTTTAAAAGTAATAGTTAATACTTACTATATTTTATGTTAGTGACGTTATTTCCTTGAGTTTTTTTCCATGAAAGGATTCCACAGGTCCATGATCTTTCAAGAAAACTTATTATTTTAGCTCACTAGTGAGGAAAATTATGTGGGAGCAATTGCAGTGAGAAGACAAAGTCCCAGGAAAGTAAAGGAATTTTAAGGACTACACAGAAGGTCCCTTTTGACTCTAGAACATTTCCTAAAACATTTACTTTCGTGCTTCAAATCTAATTAATCTACAGTCAGTTGAGTTTACTCTGCCAACTTTCCTAATGTCTTATTTAATCTAACATTTTCTTACCATTAAACTACTAGGAACAATCTGGAATATATGTCTAGAAGAAGTCTGTTCTTACTTGGAGCCGAGCCTACATAGCTAAATCAACCTTTGTGAGTCAGGGAAACAGCCTTCATTAAAAAAAAAGTCATTATATTATTTAACTACAATAAAAGGCTTTTTTGAAAAAATGATACTTACAAATGCTTTGTAACTTACTTGAAATTAACCAGACCAGCGAAGGCTTTTCAGACAAGTTGGAATTTAAGCTAGGTTTTAAAAGATAGAGATTAGAGAAGAAGCCCAGGAGTCTTAAAGAAGAGGAATCAAGTTCAGCTTCATAAAAAGATGTTGAGCATAATATACTTAGCATGTCTAACAAAAGTAAATTCAGCATATTTCCAAGAAAGAGAGGTTGACTTCTCACTCACGTAAAAGAAGTCTGGGAATGGGAAGACCAGCATTAGCATGGCATCCTTGTGATTCCCTGGGAGAACGTCACATGTGCTCTTTATCCCCAGCCTGGCATCCGTCCTCAAAGTCATCTGATATCTCAAAATGCCTGTGAAAGCTTCAGGCATCACACTGACATTTTAGGAAGAAATGGTGGCATCGGGAGGAGAAATTTCCATAAAACACACTACAAATTACATCTTTAATGTGCTTCCTACTCACATGCACATGCTTAGCTGTACGGGGTGCTGAAAACTAATATCAGCACAGCAAGATGCTCAGCTGAAATTAGGGTTCTGTTACAGTAAGAAAGGAGAGAATGGATATTTGGCAGACAAAAATAGTCCCCATCATATTGTGGTTTGTAAGGAGTATAGTCTAATAGGTAAGAGCTTTGAATGGGATAACAGAAACCACACTTGGAATCCAGCCTCTGTAAGTTATTAGCTATAAAATCTTGGGAAAATAGTAACTAAAACGCTTAAGGATCAGATTTTTCATCTCGGAATAAAAAGGAGTTTGTTAAGAAAAGAAAATGTGTGTAAAGAGCTTGGCATTAAGGAGATGCTCAGTGCACCACTGTTACTTTTCTTGTGATTTGTTAGAGATGAAGTGACTTAAAAGATTGTCTCTGACTTGAAAGAGTGAGCAAGCTGTTGTATTAGAGAAACACAAACACACCATTTATATAAGCTGATGAGATTACATATTTATTATTTTTTCAGTTTCATGAATATACAAATAATATAGTGGTCAGCAATACTATTTTCAAATACAAAATAAAGCAGAACTTCATTGCAGTACTTACTTTTCTACAATACCTTTAATGTATAGTCTACAGAATTTAACAGGTGTTAAATCAAATGCCATTCCCTCTCAATTGACCTGCCCAAATAAAGTAGAAATACAGATATTCCCCATGGGTTTAAGAATGAGATTTCCAAGACTTAGTCTTTTGAGAAACCATAAAATAAATCCAGAGGGATCACAACATTTTAGATTAAAATAAATGGGGGAAAAGAGGTATCTCTAATTTATTTATTTTTTGATGGAAGTGAGGGCAAACAGTGGAGGTGGCAATAATGGGAACTCAACTTTTTCTATTAGAAAGTTTAAAAGAGAGGAGAAACTGAGCTGGGTGAGAAATTCAGGTTGTAATGAGTTTTCACATTTGTCTCAACTCGATGAGTTTACTAGTCAAATTGCTCTCCTTTTCTGTGATATTTTCACCTCCACTGCTCTCCTTTATAGAATTGCTTCATGTGAATTCATTTCTGAAAATGAAAGAGGACAGGAAAAAAGTGAATGTTAGAGCAATGACAATTTTTTTTCTATTTTTATTGGGTTTAACTTATCATAAGCCAGATTTAATTTTCACATCTGGACTGTGATTACGATCATGGTTATTTTTATTGAGGTAAGAATTAATATTAGATTCCCCAAAGTAGAGGAGAATTCAGTATTATATGGTCCACCTGTCCTTCTGATACTTGAAACCATCTCCATGTGATTGCCTCCTTCCCCTCTCTCCTCCCAGCCAATGACCATGTACAAGTGCTAGGACATTTGCTCTTCAACACAAGCCATCCCTGCAATTATAACCATGATTCCTTCCATCATGAATCCATTACATTCCTTTCTCAAATGCGCACTCACTTGCCCTACTATAAGTCTGCCTATTGCAGCTATGCATAAAAGGCCTAACTAACCCCCTTTCTACCTGGAAGGCTTTAGAGCTTTTTAAATACACAATTTTTATATCACCTAGTGTTTTATTCCCTCTGCACTGAACATACTCAGTTTCTTTACCTACTTTCCTCAACTCGGTTTTTGAGTCCTTCACTTTCCAGGTGATTTCTTCTTGTTGAATAACTCAACCTGCATCAGGACCCTGAACTGCTTCTCTGTCACTTAGAATAAAGTGTCTCATTTCAACTTGGATCTCAATGCCACCTAGCAATTCTATTATTTGTCCTTGTTGGGGTATGCATGTATGTATGAATTTATCAGCCAGGTTTTTATTGTCCCTTTTGTCCCCATCTTAAAGAATTACCTCTGCTAACCTGGAAAAGCTGTTGCTGCTATCGATCATACTGCTATTATTAGTCTTTTTATATAAATATAAACATATATATATATACATTATATATAAATTGAATTTTGGGAAACTTTAACGGTGCTGCCAACTTTGAAAAAAGTTATCCCAATTTACTGTGTTGAGCTAGCATTGTACAGAAATGGACAGCCATATTGGTCTAGAAATGTTAAATATTTTTCCATTTGTACAGGGGTAACACACTGTACTAAATATGTAAGGTCATATCTACGTGGGTTTGATTACAGAAACTAATAAAGTATTCTCTAAATAATGAAAAAAATAAGATAAGACTACAAGAGCAAGAAGCAATTTAAATATGTTCAGGGACCATTTTCATCTTCAGAATTAAGGATTATTTTAATGTTACATCATTGCCTTTTCTCTTTTAATTTCCTTTTTAGTTTTATTTTAGGATTCCCTATTTTTAATGTTCATACAGAGATTTCTTTAACTGAAATACCGAATAGTTTCTCTGGTGTGAAACACTATAATAGTACACAGGATCCTAATGAGATAAGTAATAATGTGAAATAGGAAGTAAAGGGCTAAAGGTGTAGGGAAAGTGGGAAGGGTGGGGGAAAGGTAATAAGGGAGAGGAAAAAAATATGAGAAACTGAAAAAAATGGAAATAAAGAGTTTGTAAATGGGGAGGGGAGGAGGGGGTGAAGGGAGGGCAGGGACAAGGGGAAAAAATGAGAATCAAGACCTACTATGTAAAGGTACAGGATCCCAATAATGAATGTAACTGTATTGTATACCTAGATTGTACCAATAAACTCAATAAAAAGAAAAAAAAAAAAGAATTACCTCTGCTAATGACCCACCAGGGCAATCAGAAGGTAGGTCTCCTTAGCATGAGTTGGATCTTTCCAGCATAGGTCTTCATGTGGCCTGTCTTCCATCTGTTTCTCTGGGCTCACTCTGCACCCTGCCTTCTGCCTGAGGAGATCAACACGGACTCTGTCATTGGACCCTGTCTCTTCTGGCTTCCTGTTACATTTGGCTCCTGAGGAGCTCCTGGAGGAAGAAGAAGAGTTGAGGACGAGAGCTGAGTGTTCTGTCCCTGGCTTCCTCTCTAGTTGACCTGGGGCTGACCATCTCACTCAACTGTGAGCCACTGCTCATCTCAGGTCCACCTGCAGCTCTCTTCCTCCAGGCTCTAGTTCACTCACTTTCATCCCTTTTAGCCAAGCAATGATACAAACTTTGTTACTGTAAGAACCAGGGTTCTTGCAGTGTCCCATGGTTTCCTTATAACCCAATCTCTGCTTTCCTTCTCAGTAAACTCTGATTTATCTCATCCCAGGGTGAGAGTGACTCTTCTCTCTGTGCCCCGATGAAGGCAGTGCTGTCTTGCAGTCTTAGATTTCCACATGGAGCTGTCCCTGTGAACTTGCTCTTGCTCCTCTAGGTAGGGCTGTGCTGAGCTCTGCTTTTATACAGCCCTTAGCATTTCTCACCAGCCAGCACTTTCCCTTCCCTCAGGAAAATTCTATTCCTTTCCATAGGAGGAGATTTGATTGCTTTTTCCTTCTGTAATCTTGCAAATCACGTGGTCTTCAGATGAATAGTGATTGGAAACCTGTATCAGGTATGAATGAGAGCTCAAGTTTCTGAGTCCAAGTCAAGCAGGAGACTAGCTAGGTATTTGTGGAATCAGTGTTATCTAAGATGAGTTTTGTTTTTGTTTTTATTTTTTTTTTGGTACTGGGGGTCAAACTCGGGACCTTGCATTTGTGAGATAGGTGAGTTGCCACTGAGCTAAATCTCCAGCCCTTTAAACTGAGTTTGAACAGACAAGTAGGCAGTAGCTGCAGGTCAGGTAAAATGTAGATCAAAGAGCTTTTCAGGAGAAAAAAAATAGCTTTTTGGGTTTTTTCCAGTATAAGGTATTGAACACAGGGCCTTCACACTGAGCTACATAAATAACTTTATATTTTGTTACAAAATCTTGCTAAGCTGCTCAGGTGAGGGTCAAACTTGTGCGATCTTCCTTCCTCTGCCTCTTAGAGTACTATAATTATAGTACACCACCACACATGACTTTTTGTTGTTGATACCATTGTTGTTGTTTGAGACAGAGTCAAACAAGTCCAGGCTTTGTAGCCTATGATGGCCTGGAACTCATGGTGATCCTCCTACTTCACCCTTCCAAGTGCTGAGACAATAGGGGTACACTGCCATGCTTGGCCCAGAAATACAGGTTTTAAAAGCCTAAATGTCCTTGCTGAATAGGGAAAAGAAAGAAGATCACAGAAGATGAGGCCTGTTTTCATAATTGTGTTCATCCCACTCTAGCCCCTTTGTGCTTAATAGATAGTCCTTGTACTACTTTACCAAGAAAAGGCAGCTGTGAATGTCTCCATTTTATTTCACACTCCTTAGGTCATCCTCCTCCCTTCTTCAAGATTATCTCTTTTAACTACATTCCCACTTTAGGAAGAAGGTGATAGGGAGAATACTGTAATTACAGAACCATGCGGCAATTCAGATAAAGGACTCAGGAAGAAATGGCCTGTTAGCCGAATGTGGCCTATGCAGGTTTTGGAGATCAAGTTTTATTGGCACACAGCCAACACTCATTCATTTCAGTATTGTTTATGGCTGCTTTTCACTGACAGCAGCAGAGTTGAGTGGTTGCCACACTCTGTATGACCCACAAAGCCTAAAACATTTACTCACATAAGCCCTTCCGGCAAAGTGTGTTGACTTCTGATCCAGACAAATGACCCAGATGAGACAACTGTATTTGAGAATTCATGATAGAGAGTGAGAAGTCATCAGATTCCAAACATAGGAGAGCATACAGCTTTTGCTAATGGGTTGAATGTGAAACTTACAACAAAGGGGACAAGAATAACTGTATTGTGTAGCTTGAATAACAGGAAGAACAGACTTATCATTTACTGAAATAGGGAAGGCTGTGGGGAAAAATTGGATGAGGTGGTAGGGAGCAAAAAGTTTAGTTTCGTGTATGTTTGGAGATGAGTTTGAGATGTCTACTAGACATTTAAATGGAAAGATCAGACAGCCTTTTGGAGGGACAGGGTGGGTTTCATCAGAAAGATCAGGGACAGAAAGGCAAATTTGAGAATTATCAGTATGTGTTATTTAAAACCTTGTGATATATATAATAAGAAGTCTGTTCGGGATTTTATGGAGATGATGATTACTTCTGTTTAGGAAAATCATGGAAGATTAGTCCAGGAGTTCAGATTTGATTTATGTGTAAGAGATCAGTAGGTCCTTTGCATGCAGAGAAATATTTGAATTGTATTCTAGCAGAGTGAATAGCCTAAGACAAAACATTAGTCTTGTATTTTTTGAAGAAGTGACTAAATCAATGTACTTCCTATTTCAAGGGACTCAACTTTTGGAAAAAATGCTTAGTGATTGACAGATAATTAAGGATAGATTGGAGGCAAAGATTGAAGATTGTCTGTTCACGTGTGGTAGTTGATATACCCAATTTCTCAAATATTATTCAGCTCCTACTCTGTGCCCAAGGATATCTTCATCCTCATTTTATGGTTTATTTTATCTCTGTGATAATTGTCACTACTGATCTCCCCCTGCTTGAAAACTTCTAACAGGCTGCGTCTTACTCTTCTTGTCCTCCTCTTTTCCTCGGACAGCTTTCTTGCAGTTCCTTTCTTACTTCCACTTCCTCCTCCCTCTTCCTGTCTCTATTTTGCTTCTTTCTGGTCAGTCTCATCAATGTTTATGATTTCAATCTTTCTTCCAGTATTCCCGATTATCTGCCTCCATCTCATGTTTTAGCTCTAATTTTCAAATTATTATATCCCACCACTTTGGGGACATTTTACATGAATGTCCCACTGACATGCAATTATTTCTCTTACCAGCCTTTTCTTCTTCATGAATAACCTATTCTGGCTAAGGGTCACCTTTGTTTCTCTCTTCTGAGTCACTAACACGACTTTCCCTCTGTGACTTCTTCACTGTCACCTTAGAATTGATTATTAAACTTTATAACTTCTGTACCCCATCTCACTAATCTAATCCCTTTGTTACCTTCGTAACTGCTTCCTTAATTAAAGATCTTATTTTCTCTTATGTGGGCATTAAACTTTCCTATCTAGTTTCTCTGCTTTAAGGCTTTTTCACATCACCTATAATTTCAAGTAACTTTGTAATATGAAATATGATCATACTATTCCTTTTTAAAGCACTACTGACTCTCCATTCTCTGTAGTAATGGTTTTCAAAAATTTTAAACATAGCATAAACTTTCTTTTTTAGTTGAAATTGTAAGTTTGGATCCTCTTTTTTCAGTGTCTAACAGAACAGAAAAAATAAGAAATCTATATTCATTTTAAAATTATTTAAAACGTATTGCTTTCCAGATATAGAACAGTTATTATGCCAAGCACAGTAAATATGGACAATAGTAGCAACAATGAAATACCTACTAAGTGATTTCCCTGTGCCAAGTGCTATAAATTCTTTGTATACCTGAATTCATTTAATCTTTATAACAACCATATAAGCAAGAATAAGAAATGGTTTCTTCTTTTAAGGAATTTTCTGGGGGTGTGTGCATGTTCATGAGTGCATGAATATGTGTGTAAGTGTTACCTGGATGACCAGCATTTTGTCTCACTGATAGCTCATATAAGGAATCAGAATTTTTGATGGCCATTGATCAAAGCTACCTCACAAGTGTGCTGAGCCTCATCAAATTGATTAGCTTGTGAACTGGGAGCTTGGAAATGATGTTAACCTTCCCAAGGGTAATTTAAACAAAAAGGAAGCACTGCAAAGTCATCCTAGTTAAAAAATAAGATCACCTATCTCTATACCCAATCCTCGGCTCTGCCGAAAACACGTTCTGGTCTTCTTACCTGTGAACTATTGCTTGTCAGTCAGACTTATCTAATGTGTCAGCACCACAAGAGGAACCTGAGAAGAGCCAAATATTACAATTTGTTGTTCATGGTTTGATTGGTGCTGTGATTTAGTAAATTACTTTTTCTAAGGGTTCTTTTTTGGCCTATTTAAGCCAAGGACTAAATATAGCAATAAGAATTTAAATTACGTTGGCTCTTGACTGAATTGCTCAATATTCCAATCTCTAGACTTTACTGTGCTGCCAGGGGAAGAGCAAAAACAGTTGACAATGATCTTGCATTACTGATTCACTCTACTCATTAGATTATATTGAAATATTATGATTTGCTGATCTCAGTTACTTACTTTTTGCCTCCGGCCATTTCAAAGTAACTTTGCTACTCTATAACAAAATACAAAATTATTTGGAGTAAGACTTACTAATTGGAAGTGATTATTTTTATATAGAAAATTAAGCTCTTTATTAAATAATGTTATATTACCACAAGAATTACATTTCACAAACAAGTAATCAGTAAGACTTTCACTTTAGGTATTTTAGTATTGTTAAAGTCTAGTAATTGTTAGATTTAATTGTATTCTTTGCATTTAGCCACACAAATAAAATCAGGTTATAGGTTTGCATTATAATATATTATCTTATTGGAAAAAAATAAATTAAAGAATTTATTAATTCTTGGATTAAAGAAAAGCCAAGAAAGTATGCTTTTGTTAAACATATGTAAAATATTATAGTTATATACATTTTTGTATATTTTTTGTAGAATTCCTTTACTTTATTCAAAGTAAAAATGCTTTCTTCATAAGTCCTATAAAGCTCTTGTGTTATATATTCCAGAGACTTTTCTACATTCATTTTATTTATTTTTAATTGAATTCATGATCAGTGAAACAGACACGCTTTGGGTGAGATGTTTGTTCCCTGTGATTTAAGAGGATAAAACAATGGACTATTCTTACTAATTTACCTAGAGTTTTCAATATATGACAAGAGTACAAATTCATATTTACTTCATTACTATAAATGTGTTATAATTTATCATGGATATAATAAAAACAAATACATTTTAGTTTAATAGGGCATAACTATATCTTTGGCAATCTCTTCAAGTATTTTTTGCTGTAATTAAAATAACCAAAGTTATTCATTCTCTTAGTAATCTTGCCCAATTTTCCACATATCAGAAAAATGAAATGTGTTCAAGTTGCTATTATTATTATTATTATTATTATTCCTTTATTTTGTCCTCAGGCTACCTCAAGCTAAATTACTCCGTTTTCAATAGTTGCATGCTCTGCTATGTTTTATCTCCTAATAGCTAATTGTGTTATATTTCCTATGCTAAATCTCTTGACTGTTCAGTTAGCACCTGAATTTTATAAATGTAGGGTACTCAGTGGGAAATGAGCTTTAGGGTGTTGTGATTCTCAGAGTGCTAGTAGGAGCTGAGGAGTGAGGGAAGCAGAGGATACAAATTAAATGGAAAATATTACCTGAAAATTTAAATTACGTTGGCTCTTGACTGAATTGCTCAATATTCCAATCTCTAGACTTTATTGTGCTGCCAGGGGAAGAGCAAAAACAGTTGACAATGATCTTGCATTACTGATTCACTCTACTCATTAGATTATATTGAAATGTTATGATTTGCTGATCTCAGTTACTTACTTTTTGCCTCCGGCCATTTCAAAGTAACTTTGCTACTCTATAACAAAATACAAAATTATTTGGAGTAAGACTTACTAATTGGAAGTGATTATTTTTATATAGAAAATTAAGCTCTTTATTAAATAATGTTATATTACCACAAGAATTACATTTCACAAACAAGTAATCAGTAAGACTTTCACTTTAGGTATTTTAGTATTGTTAAAGTCTAGTAATTGTTAGATTTAATTGTATTCTTTGCATTTAGCCACACAAATAAAATCAGGTTATAGGTTTGCATTATAATATATTATCTTATTGGAAAAAAATAAATTAAAGAATTTATTAATTCTTGGATTAAAGAAAAGCCAAGAAAGTATGCTTTTGTTAAACATATGTAAAATATTATAGTTATATACATTTTTGTATATTTTTTGTAGAATTCCTTTACTTTATTCAAAGTAAAAATGCTTTCTTCATAAGTCCTATAAAGCTCTTGTGTTATATATTCCAGAGACTTTTCTACATTCATTTTATTTATTTTTAATTGAATTCATGATCAGTGAAACAGACATGCTTTGGGTGAGATGTTTGTTCCCTGTGATTTAAGAGGATAAAACAATGGACTATTCTTACTAATTTACCTAGAGTTTTCAATATATGATGAGTACAAATTCATATTTACTTCATTACTATAAATGTGTTATAATTTATCATGGATATAATAAAAACAAATACATTTTAGTTTAATAGGGCATAACTATATCTTTGGCAATCTCTTCAAGTATTTTTTGCTGTAATTAAAATAACCAAAGTTATTCATTCTCTTACTAATCTTGCCCAATTTTCCACATATCAGAATAATGAAATGTGTTCAAGTTGCTATTATTATTATTATTATTCCTTTATTTTGTCCTCAGGCTACCTCAAGCTAAATTACACCGTTTTCAATAGTTGCATGCTCTGCTATGTTTTATCTCCTAATAGCTAATTGTGTTATATTTCCTATGTTAAATCTCTTGACTGTTCAGTTAGCACCTGAATTTTATAAATGTAGGGTACTCAGTGGGAAATGAGCTTTAGGGTGTTGTGATTCTCAGAGTGCTAGTAGGAGCTGAGGAGTGAGGGAAGCAGAGGATACAAATTAAGTGGAAAATATTACCTGGCATATACATATAATCTTTGAATTAAACATCTTAACGGCGGTAGCCAGAATCATCACTGGCTTCAGACGAGTGTTATCTTGCCATGTTCCTTTGTCTAGATACTCTCAATGAGATGACTTCTGAAAAAGAAAAAGGACTAATATTTACCAAGCACCCATAGGTGCCAGACACTGTAGATATTTTTGCATTTCGTTTGATCCTCACTAAAGTTGGTGTGATTATCTCTCTTGTACTATTGGAGATTTTGAGGACGAGAGTAGTTAAGTGACTTACCCAGAGTTCCACACATTACGCAATAAACAGAGCTAATACTCTCGCACTCACGTTAGGGGGTGGGAATGCCAGTGGGGAACGAGGGGGGACAGGGGCTGGGGTTGAAAGAAGGGACTAAGCAGGTCAACATGGATTCCACACTTTTCCCTTTGAATGTTGACACTAGAGTCTCATCTTAGGACACCATGGCCCTAAAATTGTCACATGAGAAGATTTGGAAATAAGTCCTTTACAGAAGTGACTGTTTTGTATTCATTATGCACAGCTTCTGGTTTAAGCCTGGTGTGCTTGAGTAGACACTTGTTTATCTTTATTTTTCCCATAACACCTTCCATGTTTTATCATTATTATTCAATATTTGTTAAATTGAATTTAGAATCTTCTTCCAGAAGTGACAAGAAACATTCTATAAAGTTAATTATAATAGTGTCCACTCTGGGATATTTACATGTATCATAGTAATTGAGAACCCAATTACAGAATTAAAACCTGAGCAAACAAAAAACAGTTGACCACACTGGACTGTAGATACTGCTAAAGAAAGGGCAAAAGGAAAGTGGGAAGGGATTTAATACAAAGGATCCATAATTTTTAAGAGTTTTAAGATTTGAAATTAAAATTAGAAAACTCGAGTATGAGTAATTAGTACCTCATATTTTCTGTGAAAACAACTACCTCTGCTGCCTATAGCTGGAATTACCAGTTATACCAAGCAGTTTCTTCTACTAATTGGGTCAGGTTATATTTTTAGTACAATTTTATTCTAATGAATGAACGTCCTTTCTATTAACCTGAAGAAACATGAAATAACAGGAGAATATATCAATAGGGACTTCAAACTAACTGTATATGCTAATGTGACAGAAATGACTGCTTGAGGACAATTTTACCATATCGATTGCAATTATGAAGGGAAAATAAAATCTTCCTAAGTACTCTTCATTTTCTCTGAGTTAATTACATTTTATAACCTTTGCTAAACTCTTCAAACAACAGAATCTTATTCAGACAGTAAAAAGAATTCTATTATCTTCCAAAAATTCTGTCAGATTGATGGATTTACCAGTTTCCTTTATTTTCATTCCAAGAAAATTTCCCCTCCATCATTATTATTGCAAATGTGATCACCAGTATCTTTTATTGAATCTGTAGGATATTGTGCTGGTAGAGAAACATCAAGAGTTGTAAGATTTAGTCCCTGTCTTTGAAAAATGTATCATATATTGGAGACATTTAGGTCAGTTAAAATTGGCTCAGAATAATTTGTCCAGCCATCATGGAGAACTTAGACCCATTCCATGGAGAAATATGGCATTAGATATGTTAAAATAAACCCTACCATTTAAACTTTACTAAGAGATACATATTTTAAAAGATGATTCAGGGCTGGGATTTAGCTCAGTGGTTCTGCTGTCTGCCTCACAAGCTCAAGGTCCCCTTCTCCAGTACCAAAAAAAGAAGGAAAAAAAAAAAAGGTGATGCAGATGACATTAGTTACCCTCTGCAGGCAGAGTGAAACCCATTGAGTCTTAGAGGATCAAACCCTAATTCTCTGAGGACTTTATTTGGGTGATTTGGGAAAGTATTTCAAGTTCCCTCTCTGCAACTAAATGGTAGTGTGACTATTACTTACAGCACATTATTGTTCCCACCGCTATGTGAAGGCACAGGCTCTCAGTGTCTCTGACCTGAAAGAAATCCTGTACTGTTGAATATGATGGCAGGAGCCTCACCCTCCTTCTTCAGAATATACTGATCAACAGTAATACTGGATTTCTGGTAGATGCCTCCAATATACTTTAATTGTCAGCCTTATATGTGAAAATGTAACATTTTTTGTAATGTAGACATGATTTACAAGTTCATTTTCTAATGCACTCTAAGATGATACTCATCAGTTGTTAGTATAAAAAAGTAATTGGCAATGGGAAGTAAGAATGATCAAATCATGTGATATGCATATACAAATGCACAAAAAAGAAATCCATTAATCTATATGACCAATGCACACCAATAAAAAAGATGTGAAACGATATAAATACAAATATAATTTTAAAACAAAGTAATTAACATCATGACATCTTATACATTGATTTTCAATGTTGAATTTGAGAGAAATAAGGAGGAATAACTTTTTTCCTTCCAAATTGAGGGTGTGGAAATAAGTCACAGGGATAACTGCACAAGTACAGTTCCTGAAAATATGCTGTAGCTGTATCTTTCTGGTTTGCTTTGCTTAGGCCTTACACAATTACCAAATTTCCTTTATTAGCACATTTAATTGAAAGTTAATATTCCATTTCCTTTATCAATGGCATTAGTAGATAGCTTTTCTAAAATAATGTGCAGTTATACACATCAGCAGTTTATGTGGGTTAATAAGATCATTTAAGTGTTTCCACATTCACACTGCAATATACTCTCAGTGAGGCACATTAAAGATAATCTGCTTAGAGTATTAAAAGTGTTTACAGTTTTAAGCTTATAGATGTATATCATATATTTTTAAGTTTTCTAAAACTACAAAATATATATATTTTAGTTGGATGGAAGCATTCTTAATAGAAGAAATTTTTATAAACAAATATCATATTTCATACCAGCACATATAAATACCCCTGACTGACTTTTTTAATAGGATAAACTTTACTTTTTAGAGAAGTTTTAAGTTTATAGAAAAATTGAATGTAAAGTACAGAGAATTCGTATATACTCCCTATGGCCCACCCCTCCACAACATCTCTTCAGCTGTGGAGTTTGACATGCCCTTTTTTGTAGTAGGAATTAAACTCAGAGCCTTTGTTGTGAGCTACATCCTAAGCTCCCCTTTTTTATGTGATTTAAAAACAGAGTCTCACTAAGAGACTAAGTTTGCTAAGCTGCCCAAGCTTGGCTCAAACTCAGTCTTCCTGCTTCAGCCTCCCTGTGTGATGGGGTCACTGGAATGTACCATGATGCCTGGCTATCTGGCACTTGATGGGCCCATATGGGCACATTAGGTGATCCAAAATGCATAGTTTAAATTACAGTTCATGCTTGGTGTTGCACATTATACATTTAGACAATGGATAATGACATAGATCCACCACTATAATACTATGCAGAACATCTGCATTGCCCTATAAATCTGTGCTTTACCTATTCATCTTTCCTTCTCTCCTAATTTGGTGCATCCACTAATTCTTTCTCTGTCTCCATATTTTCACTGTTTCCAGAGCATGGAATCATGTAGCATGAGGCCTTTTCATATTAACTTCTTTCACTGAACATCATACCTTCAAGTTTCTTCCCTGCCTTTTCATGTGTTTATAACCCTTCTCTTCTTAACATTCAGTAAGATTTCATTGTCTGAATGTGCCATGGTTTATTTATACATTCTCCTGTTGAAGGACTTCTTGGTTACTTCCAAGTTCTGACACTGATGAATAAAGCTGCTTAAGAATTTGTGTGTACGTTTTTATGTAGACATAAATTTGCGATTCACTTGGGTGAACACCAAGGATTGCAATTGCTGAATCATAGGGAAGGGTATATAGTGTTATTACATGGTTTTAATTTGCATTTTTCTGATGACAACTGATGTGGAACATCTTTTTATGTACTTACTTCCCCCTTTATATCTTCTTTTGATGAGGTCTCTGTGCAGGACTTCTGTCCATTTATTAATCAGATTGTTTTCCTCTTGTTGAGTTTTCAGAGCTTTTAGGTAAATATTGGGTAACAGTCCTTTATCAGATGTATTTTTTGCAAATATTTTCTCATAGTGTGGCCTTTGTTATTTTCTTGACATTGATTCACAGACTAAGTTTTTCACCAATTTTTTTTTTTGAACTGGGGATCAAACTTGGGACCGTGTGCTTGTGGGGCAGGCGGCGGAAACTCTGAGCTAAATCCCTGGCCACAGACTGTGAGTTTTTAATTTTAATGAAGTCCAGCTTATCGATTTCATATCTCATGGATTGTGCTACTGATTAAGCCAAAGAGTCATTGCCACATCCAGTGTCAGTTTGGTGCATTTACCTTATGAGAGTTTCGTGGTTTTACACTTCACATTTGGCTGTATGATCTATTTTGATTTAATTTTGTGAGGAGTGTAAGGTATGTGTCTAGATTCTTTTTGGTTTTCCTGCAGATTTCTAGTTGTTCTAGAATTGTTTGCTGAATATAATGTTCCATAATATTGCCTCTGCTTGTTGACAAAAATCAATTGTGTGTGTGCATGCACGTGAGAAAGTGTGTGTGTGTGTGTGTGTGTGTGTGTGTTGGCCTATATGCACTCTGTTCTGATCTGTGAATCTACTCCTTTTTGTCAATACTATGCTGTCTTAATAATCATACCTGCATAATAAATCTTAAAGTTAGATAGTGTCATTTTTCTGACACTGTTGTTGTCTTTCAGTACTCAATTGGCTATACTGGATTTTTTGTTTCTCTATGTAAATTTTAGTCAGTTGGTCAATTCATACAAAATAGTTTGCTGGGCTTTTGATTGGAATTTTGTTGAACACATATATGCAATTATTATATCCTCATGATTAATTGACCCCATTTATAATGATCTTCTTTCCTCTTGTGACAGCTGTTTACTTAAACTATCTACGAATCTTCTCTACTCTAAAAGGAGCCACGCCTTCTCTCTTCTGGTTACCTTTTGCATGGAACATTTTCGTCTATCTCATCACTAGTAGATTGTTTGTGTGTCTTGAAGCTAAGTAAATATCTTCTAGACAATGTAGAGTTGGTTCCTAGTTTTCAATTTACTCATCCTCTTTATGTCTTTTGAATAAAAAATTTAACTCCTTTACATTTGAAGTATTGCAATTACAGATAGGTAAGGACTTGCTACTATTTCCCCTTTTCGTTAACATGTGTTTATAATACATAATAAATATACTCACCACGGTAAATTGAGATATATATATATATATATATATACACACACACACACACACACACACATACTCATCAGGATAAACTGAG